ATCTATTTGTCGTAAATGAGTGAATTTTGTAGAAAATTTTATTTAATATTGAAATTTATTTTTTATAAAAAATTTAGTTTTTAATTCAACAAAAATTACAGATTCGAGAACAAATTATTTAATTGTCGTACACCAATTAAATAATTGGCCAGTTGTGCGACAAATAAACAAGTTCGACAATTATAATTACGACAAATAGACGCCTTTGACTGTAAATAATTGTGTGCTAACAATGACAAAAAATATAATAACCTTAAAATTTATACAGCTTATAAACCAAACATAACTTGTTATTTAAATTTGATAATAACAACAAGTGATATAAAAAATCAAAGCTTAAGATTTGTTATCATTAGTTTTAATTTTAAGAAAATTTAATTAATAGCTAATGATTTATAATTGGTTATATTAATATAGTTTATTATAGATGAATATTTACTGATTGGATATTAACTATTGTTACATTTAAAGAAAATATTTAAATAGATAACAAACTTTATTTGAAAAATTCCCACAAATGTTGAATTAAAAATTTTTAATTATTTGTAATTCGTTTTGTCGAGCAATATTATTACTTCATTTCTATTATTAATTGTCTTTTGATTCGAAACCCACACAACAAATGTAATCCATTTACAGTTTGTTTTCTCGTAGTAATACTTTCCCTTTATTTAAATCAAGTTCATTTTAATTCAAAAAGAAAAACAACACAATGGTATTGATTCTTTTTCTTTTAACTCTACAGTTATCATTGGCAAACGTTACTAAATGTTCTCCGGGGTGTTCATCAACGTGTATTTCTGATTACACATGTATTAGCAATTGTACTGAAACATATGATGACGACAAAACATGCCAAAATTGTAAATTTCGTAATCCAATGAGCAATGACTCAACAGGATATATAAAAGACGGGGACTATTGCAAAGAAGTAACCACTATTATTGTAAAACAAAATTTCTTACCAAACGAAAATGATATAGAATACGTACCAATTAATACCACTTTTAATTTTGAAATCAATCAGAATTCTACTGTTGATAAAGGACCTTGTTTCCAAAAAAACACACACCGCTTAGGTAAATGGATAAAAATAAAATCTACAGATTTTACGACCAAAGATTTTTATTTCACTCTGACAAAACCAGAACTTGACATCGTGGACGTCTTTTTCGATGGAACTTATTCACAAAGAACATTCACCTATAGTCAATGTAGAGTACATTATTGGCTGAACACATCTCAATTTAATGTTTCTGGTCAGTTTCCCAAAATTTCACCTTATCCTGATGACACTGATAATGTCATTCCTTTTAACGTTTACTTTTTCATATCAGTGAGGGGATACAAAAGAGTCAACTTAACAATTGAATTTTGGCAAAAAGAAAAACATCTCTGGCCATATATTTATGAATTTTCCCAAAGTGATTTGGACTATTTGGCAGAAGATTTGTCGAGAAAAATTGTTAAGGTGGTTCCTGTAGAAACGCGTGGTATTTATGTGGTAACTCCATGCACTCCACGTATATACATGAAGGCCATCTTTTTCACTTTGACTCTGAACTCATCGTACTCCGTTTTGGTGAGTACTAAAAAGCAAAATCGAGTGACTAATATGGTTGAAATGATGTCAAAAATAATTGATGAGAAGTTGGTTTATTCATGTGCAGAGACATGGGGAGGAGTGCCTGTTGGTGTTTTTGCCGAAATAATCCAAAATGGAGTTTTTGTACGTATCAAAGGTGATGACCGTCCTGGTGTTCGAGAATTTGCAATACTTTCTGATGATCACCAAACAAACAGTGAGATGGAAATAAGTGTTATTTGTCCGAACCACTGTCATGAAGATTTGGGACATGGGTATTGTTTTTCAAGTGAAGGTAGATGTGTATGTAAACCTGGATACGGTGGTGATGATTGTCATATGTTATGTTATTACAATGATAAATGGCAAGTAGATGATTACAAAGATTTGTGTTACTTTGGAGAATATGAATGCGATCAATACTGTAAGTGCCAAGAAGGACATGCTTTAAAAAACCATTTGTGTGTTTCTACAGAATGTATAAATGGAGGTATTGGGTCAAGTGATGAATGTATATTGGGTACTGAAGGTTGTCAAGACAATTGTCATTGCAATGTTAATTCAGGATACATCGCCACAACAAATTCAAGATGCAAGTTGGCAACATGTGGAAATGGTAAAATTGACTTTGACGACAATTATTACAATTCAGTGACGGAATTGAATTCAAAAGAAGAATGTGATAATGGGACAAATTGCAACGAATTTTGTAAATGTAATGTGGGCTTCAAGACTGATATTGACAATCCTATAGATTGTATACCTGAAGGTATTTCTACTGGAATTATTTTGGCTATCGTTTTTTGTTCGACTTTTGGAGCAATTGTGTTTATAACAATTATTGTTGTTTCCATATATAGTGCTTTAAGATACAAAAAGATAGACGTAAAAATATTTAAAACACAACAACCAAATTACCATTTTTATATCACTGGGTCGGTTAATGAGACTCCATCTAAAAATATAAAGTATGATATGAGACCTTTGGAATTGGATTTTGGAAACAAAAACAAAGCGACTTTAATCAATGACACCCGTTTTGAAAAGGTTGACATACGAAATTTGAGCAAAATGAAATGGTTTGTTTTTAATCATTTATTAGATGTGAAGAACACATTTTTACGTTTAGGATGATGGTCATATTTCATACAACCAATTCTCCCAAATTTGTCTTCCACTTTAGTCCACAAGTTGTTTTCCTTCGACCGAACACCAAATTCTGCATGACAGTATATATGACCTTACATTGTTCGACAAAGATAAAAAACATGAAAATCCCATACACAGTATGGCACTCCAAATCTAAAAAGACATTGGTGCGCATCTCTGAAATATTGAAGGGTAAGACTTTTGATGAATGGACACAAATTGACAAAAAGAATATTGAAAGGTTATGTGAAGATGTGAAAGTAAGAACACACAATTATTTTACAATTAAAACAGAAGCAACGAGTTCAACTCAGATTGATATGGATGAATTAAACATCGCTGAAAACCCAATTGCTGAAGGAGCGATGGGTAAAGTATTTATAGGCAATTATAGGAGTGTTCCAGTCGCTGTCAAACAGTTTAAGTGGGACAATTTGGACGACAATGAAATGACGGAGTTGAAAAAGAGTGTAGTAGCAGAATGTGAAATCATGAGTAAATTGCGAAATCCATTCATTGCCAATTACATGGGGTCCGTCACTTACTTAAAACAAGTCTCAATGGTCATCCAATTCTTTGTTTTGGGATCACTGGGAGAGTACTTGAGAAAGGAGAAAGAGGATTTTGTCATTCTTCCCTACAAATTAAAAGTACGCATGTTGTTTGACACTGCAAGAGGAATGCAATTTTTACATGAAAACAAGATTATGCACTTGGACTTAAAACCGGAGAATCTATTGGTGAATTCACTGGACTCAAATTCCGTCTGTTCCATTAAAATCACTGACTTTGGAACTTCAAGGTTCACCAAAAAGTCACTCAAAAAAGGAGAAGAAAAGGGTCTGGGCACTCCTATTTATGGATCACCGGAATCATTTAGGGATGAATATACATATGCTGGAGATGTCTATTCATATGGAATAACAGCATGGGAAATATTTTATCAACAAGAACCATACAAAGAGTTTAAATCGATTTTTGAAATCAAAAATTACGTTGAAAATGGGAAAAGACTTGAAATTGGAAGTGAGATGCCAAGACTTTACAGGGATCTTGTCGAAGAATGTTGGAGACAAACCCAAGAGATAGACCTTCTTTCGATCATATTGCAAGATTTTAGTCGCGTCGACGAAGATGTGATAAACCACATGCTTTGGACTTGGAATACTCATTTGATAAGCTGGAAAATATCACTCAAAAGAGAATGCAAAGAATGCAACAAACTCTCAAAGATGTTTATGCAGAATAATTTAAAATGTTTAACTGTTTATTTTATAATTTGAATTTAATTTCTTTTGTATTTAATACTTTTGAGTATAAAAAATAATTTTATATTTTCATATTTATTATTATAAATTTGTTTTTTTATCATTTGTACAATTTACAATATATTTTTTATTAAGTAATCATTGTTTTTGAATTATTGTTTATATAACATACAATCCATATTCACTTTTCAATAACTAATATTTTACAATTTTAACATATAAATAAAGTTCCAAAATTGTATTTGTTAATATTTTCTCAGAAAAAAATAAATAATTTAATTTAAATATTTTGTTAAAAAGTTGTACTTAATACATTCAGAGGTGCAAAAAATGTGAAACCGGTATTTACAAATTATTTTTAGTTGCAAACGAAAATTACAAATATAACATGATCCTTTTTTACCTTTTTTTCATTTGAAACTTAATTTTTTAAAAAAATATTAGTTTCTGACATATTATAATAAAGTAATAATCAAAAAAAAATTCAGAGTTTGTTTGATATGAAAACAAATAATCCAGACAAATATAAAAATATTAACAATATCTATTTCTACAAAACAAGATTTTTATACAAATCTTGTTTTGTGTTTTATTAATACACAATGAAAAGTTATTACAATACCACGTTTCTGAATTTTAAAATGAAAGAGGCATATAAAGAGAAATTATTAAAAAAAATACGACAATGGAAAGTTATTAAATTGTAATAATCAATAAAATATATAATTTGATAAAAAATATTTAATTTCTACAACATTTGAAAACAAGAATTTACCAGACAAAATAATTGTTTTTGACATTTTTAATCTTTAGGTTATTCATATTTTTTATAAAAACCATTTATAGATTTTTTTGTAAATAAAAAGAAAAAAACAAATAATTTATTCAATGATTTGTATTCTTATTCTCGGTGTTTTAGCTAATGCACTTGATCAATGTTATATTAAAGACACTACTCACAATTGTTTCAAATATTATGACCAACTCGGAAACCTTTTATGTGATTCGAATTTGGTTATCACTGAATCTGGATATTTATGCGAAAAAGCTTTCAAAAATCAAACAGTATTTACTTCGGTTATTTTAGAACAAATAACTCAAATCAATGATTATGCATTCGAAGGATGTTCTAATCTGGTAAATTTTTCTTTTCCTACGTCTAAATATTCAATTGGTTATGTTGGAAAGTCTGCGTTTGTCGGAACAAAGTTGGAATATATTAATCCAAATAATGTGAATAAAATTGACGAAAGTGCTTTTGATGGTGTTTTTCCCTGAAAAAAATTGAGTTTTCATATAAAATACCCAGACAAATTAAAAAGAATGCTTTTAGAAACACAGGACTTCAAACAATAGAAATTGCAACAAATAGCACTTCTATTTATGGTTATTTTTATTATTTTGAAAGAGTTGAAGAATACGCTTTTAGTGGTACGCAGTTCGAAACTTTTAATTTGAATGATAAATTAAATATGTACATTGGAAAGGGGGCATTTTCTAATATGACCAAATTAAAGTTATTCAATATGAATGGGTCATCAACAATATCAGAAGAAATGTTTGCTGGAGACACATCCCTTGAAAAAATTGAGTTTTCAGAAAATATAGTTGTATTGGGAAAAACGCATTCAAAGACTGTGAAAAATTGACTACACTTCACACTGGAAATATAATAAGTCTTCAGGATAGTCTACAGCATATCACAAAACTGTTTTACCATAGCGTATATGTTCCAAGTGGTGTTTCAGAAGAAATCAATGTTAATGGAGATATGAATGTGTATGTCAATAAATACTACAAAGAAACAAATCTCACCATTTTTGGTTTGACAGCAATACAATTAAGTTGTAACAAAGGCCAAAAATACGATTTCGAATCGAATGCTTGTGTTGCTTGTGAAAGCGGTTATAATTCATTTGATGGATGCAGTAATGAGTGTTCTGTTTATTCAAGTTGTAAATGGCGTGATAACGACTGTTTCAATAGATATAGTGGTGGTTACACTTGTAAAATATGCCCAAAGTATTATTATTATGGTCAATTTTGTAATGATGTTTGTAATACATCGAGGTTTTATTTACTTGGTGATAACAAAACGTGTACTGAATGTAGAAACGAACATTGCATACAATGTGCAAAAAAAGAAGTGATTGATTACAATCCCAATGTTATTTTCCAAAACACCAAATGTATAAAGTGTTCACCGTCTTATACTTTGACAACGACTGGGTCATGTATCGCATCTTGTGATGTCGAAAATAATTATTCATATTATGTTGCAATTGATGGAGAACAAGTCTGCCAAAAATGTAGTGATATTTTGAAAGATTGCAACAAATGTAATTCAAACAACACTTGTTTGGAATGCCAAGAATACAGATATTTGAATGAGGATACTAATGAGTGCACTAAAACGTGTCCATTAACATATGGTATAGATAGTACTTATAGAAAGTGTGTAAAATGCAATCCAAATTGTGAAAATTGTAATTACCTACCATTAAATGGAAATATCCAAATGTGTACAAAATGTGATCTTGGTTACTATTTGGTCAGTGATACAAATGAATGTGTGGCAAGTTGTGCTGATAAATACTATGCGTATGAAGGTACACAAACCAACCCCAAAAAGTGTATTAAATGTGAAAGAAATTGCACTGTGTGTTCTGGAGATAAAGTTGAATATTGTTCCAAGTGCGAACCAGGTTACTTTTTATATGATGAAAATGAACCACAGGGGTGTCAAAGTCAGTGTGATGATGGGTATTATGAAACCACAGAAAATGGCACAGCCAAGTGCAAGAAGTGTTCTGTTATCAACAACTGTTTAACATGTGAATCACAAACGCAATGTACCAAATGTGGAAACAACCAATATGTACAAGCAGATGGTTCATGTGGAGATACTTGTCCAGAAAAACACAGAAAGGGTGATGGGTATTGTGAAGAATGTCCACCACTTTGTAGTGAGTGTCAAGAATCGGGCAAAAACAAGTGCGATGTGATTCAAACACTTTCATTCTCGAAGACAAAACATGTTCAATGTCATGTGGAGATGGATATGGAGAAATCAAGGACACAACTCCAAATTGGACATGCAAGAAATGTGTTGATAATAACTGTAAAACGTGTGTAATATTTACAGAGGAGAAGTGTGTTGAATGTGATGATGATTTCTATTTCAATGAAAATACAAAAAGATGTGAAAGTGAATGCAACTTGACCACACATTATGTGGAAATATCAGAGAAGTTGCGAATCTGCTCATTGTGCAACAAAGAGTTTTCAAATTGTCAAACCTGTACATCACAGCGGTGCACAAAATGTGAAACCAATTATTACAATCAACCGGACACACCATATACATGCGAAGAAGATTGTCCAGATGCTTACTTTAAAGGAGATGGTGTGTGCACAAAATGTGCTGATAAGTGTCTGAGTTGTGACGACATTCAGTGCTTCAGTTGTGAGGAAAAATAAGTTCTTACCAACGACAAACTAACGTGCGAACGCTGCGATGATAAAAGTTGTTTAAAATGCAGTCAAGGAAAAGAAAAGTGTGATAAATGCGAATCTCCCAAATTAGTAGGTAAAGATTCAACATGTGTTGATAATTGTGAAATTGGGTATTACAATGTAAACGATGAATATTATGAAATGTGTCGAGAACAAAACTGTGCGATTTGTGATGCAACAGAGTGCAACGAATGCGTATTAAAAAGTTATATGTTCAATGGCACCTGTGTTTCATCATGCCCAGATGGGTTTTATGAAAATATAAAAGTATGTAGCATTTGTTCAAAAAGTGCAAATGAATATGGTGTTTGCAAACAGGGGGATTTGGAATGTATTGGGTGCTCACCAAGAAATGACAATGGAAGTGCTTGGACTATACCCATGTTGTTTGCATTACTCTGTCTGGCAATGCTATAACACTGAAAAATCAAACTTATAAATGATTTGATTTTTTATTTTATTATTAACTATTATAATATATCTACACATTTATAACCCAAAGTTTGTTTAAAAAAGCAAAACGATAAAATATAAAGCCAAATCATTTTGAAATTTGTTTTTTTTAATATTTTATACAGTCAAACCATTCAAAAGTATATAAAAATAATGTGCGTTTATATTTTGATTTACTAAAATGATTATTCATGAGAGAACATACTATTCAGATATACAACTTCTAATAAGTTTCATTGTACTTAAATATATAGATAAATTATGTGCCATTTTCAATCACGCTAATTATCTTTTCGATTAAAAAAACTAAATAAAACCAAACAGATTTTGTGATATTTAAAAAATATAAAATAAAATTTTAAATAAAAAGAAAGATTTCTTTTCAACACAGTTAATATTAAAATATAAAAAATTTAACAAAAGCAGAGATAACTCGAAAAAAAGTTTTATTATTTTGTTGTGTGGTTCGATGTTGATTATAGAATTGTTAATTATAATTAAAATCAACAATCAAAACTTTATATTAAATAATGTGACATACAATAAAGACAGAAAAAGATACGATAATATATTATTAATAATAATATTAAATGAGATCAATGTTTCTGTGATTGGAGCATTTTATACAATAATTAAATTGAAATATGAAGGTGGTTTAATTAGTCAGTTTAATCATATCATTATATCAATATTGATTATTAACAAACATTATATTAATAATATATTTATTATATATTTATTATAAATAAATATACAAAACAATGACATTACTATAATCAATAATTATTTTATTAATAAGAATAGTTAATTATAAAATGTACAAAGATAAATGATTCAACTTTAAAAACATTTAATGATTTAAATTTCACATGATAAATTTTTCTAAGTAACTAGAAAAATCATAATGTTGATTTTATTTTGTCTAATTTTTCTCTCATATTCTTTGACCTTTGAAAATTGGGTTAACCGTTATAACAAGCAGTTCACAACAGCAGAATTACTTCGACGTCGCGCGATATATATTGACAATTTAAATTACGTTGTAGAGCATTCCGGTATCAACGGAGTTCAACTTTCTTTAGATGGACCTTATGCTACTTTGACTAACGAAGAGTATAAGTCCCTTTTGCGTCTTCAAAGTGTGTCGCCAAACACTCAATCGTTTGTTTCTTAAGACTCAAAATATATTACTAATAATATACTATTATTTAATTATACTGAATGTAAAGTATGTATTTAAACTAAATGAATACTATAATTATAGTTTATAAAAATGAAACTATACTTTTATAGTAATATAATTATAAATATAATTATACTGACAACAAGGAAAAAGAAGACTGTAGATTACCAAGACGACGATGTGCCAACGAGTTTTGACTTGAGAAATTATAATCACAAGAACTACGTGAACACACCCGGGGACCAAGGCAATTGTGGCAGTTGTTATTCTTTTGCTATTACTGCGTATCTTGACACGAACATGTTACTTAATTATGACGAGTACACTGTCAACAGTTTCAGACTATCTACCGCAGAGATTATATCGTGTGCTAATAACAACTATAAGGACTGTCATGGCTGCGATGGAGGAAGTCTATCGTGCGGCTTACAATACGTCAAAAACAAGGGACTTTGCCTTGAAGAACAATTCAAGTTTTGCGGGAAGGACAACAACTGCCCGTCTGCTAATAACCTCCCTGAACGAGCCACGGAAATCGATGGAATTGAATCTGCCAGCTTCTCTATGGACTTGGAAGGGCATAAAAGAATTATTTATAAGCACGGAGGCTCACTAACAGCGATGGATAGTTCTAGGATGTCTTACCAATTATACGCAGGGGGAATTTATCAAGACAGCAGATGCAGTCAGATCGCATTGAATCACGCAGTAAACATCGTTGGGTATGGCGTCGAAAATTATATCCCCTATTTCATCGTAAAGAACTCTTACGGCTCGAATTGGGGAGAAATGGGGTATATCAGAGTCAGAGCAGATAATAATATGTGTGGCTTATCGACTAATGTCTACTGGGTCGATAAAGTAAAAAAGGCGTAACAAGGTATAGTTCAGTTTATTAATACTAATAATATATATATACAGGTCGGTACGAAACCCCTATAGTTTTTTAAAACCCCTTAAGTCGTCAATTGATTGGTCAAAACCAGAAAAAATAATTTATATTTAGAAACAACATTTTCGGATGACGATTGTAAGCCAACTCCACAAACGCGTTGTTGAAACATGTTCTCCGATGTCACTTCATGTGGTTTTACACGAGACGCGACTTGTTATGATCATGTATTGAACAGTTATAAACAAACGTAGTTTTTTATGGTTTTTATATTTATATTTTGTTTTGAGATCAACCCTACACGAGGGAGACGGGATTATCCCAAAAAGTCCAAACCTGAAAAGTCCAAAAAAAATATTATATAAGTAAGCCAAAAAGTCCAAAATATTATAATTATAATAAAATTATAATAAAATCTAAAAACCCTAAAAAAACGAATTATTTTTAAAATATTTGAATAAAACGATAAAATGTGATTAAAATTTAAACATTTGCCAAAACAATTGGTATTTGCGATAAAATATTAATAACAAGAAAATAGTTTAAAATGTTATAATGTTATAAATTATATATAAATTTGAATTTAACTAAAACAATTAAAATACAAAACTATGTATTATTTAAAAGTTTCACCAAACAAATAGTGATATAACAACTAAAAACATTTTGTTGTTACTGATACATTAAATAAATGAACATAACTTGAAATCACGATTTATATGATATCATTTAATAAATTATAAACTAATTAAACATATTTTAACCCTGAAAACGCATTTTTAAGAACAAACAAATCTTTAAAATATAAACATGAGCTCAGACCCAAAGCTGTCCTTTTTGGACAATGGGAACAAATTGAAGTCCCCACTGGTTTATGATGGGTTTAAATATATATTTAGTTACTTAATTTATTATAAATGTGTCGGATGTAAGTCAAGACTTACAGCTGTTATTGATGTCGACGATAATATTATTGGAGTTAAAAATGTTAGAATTCATAATATGAATAAACATGGCTTTTATGATTTGGACTCTGCTAGATTGAATTCGATTAAAGCAATTAAAATAAAGACTTTAAAAAACAATTACAAGTTGATCTTGTAGCAAATCCACGAACCAGAAACAGTTTGATTGCCGACCCTTACAAAGAACTGCAACTTTCAAGAAAACAATATCTAAAATTAAAAGTAATGGAAAAGCAAAATATAACATTCCAAACACCTTTAATGAATTATTTTAACATAAAAATTCTCTAATATTGGCTTCTCGTGCCGACGAATTGATTATATTCGGTTTAAATTCCGGACTTCTTCTTTTGTCCAAGTCTGAATACATAATGGGAGACGGAACATTCAAAATAGTTAATGGAAAAGGACAGTTGTATATATTGCATGCTTTTATCAACGGAGTCGCTACATCATGTCTCTTTGTTAAAATGAGAAATCGTAAAACTAACGAATATGTTGAAGTGTTTGCAGTGATTGAAAAATTAGCAGAAGAACGTTGAATCAATATTTTTAGAAAACACAAAATTTTTATTGGAGATCTTGAAAAGGCTGTAATTTCAACAATGGAGTCATTATTTCCATATGTCCGCTTTCATGGATGTTTTTTTATTTGACCCACAACATTATTGAAAAATTAAAAACACCAAAAATTGGAATGTTCGATGTTTTTAAAAATAACAATGACACTTATAAATTTATTAGACGTATTTTATGTACTGCTTTTTTACCTATTGAATATATAAACTGTAATACTTTAAATATGATTTTTGATTCTTACAGGGGTGTTGATAATGGTATAGTCACAACAGATCAAATTAACAATTTAAAATTGTATCTTATTAATACTTATTTTAAAACTGGTATAAAAATGTTATATATCCACCATCTGATTGGTATTGTTTTGGTCAACCAATCAGATGTGACAATTATTCCGAAGCTACACACCGTATTTTGTATAATTTTATACACAAAAAAATTGAAGTTGTGGCATTTTTTGATTTAATAATTCACACCTTAAAAGAAGATAAAGATAAAACTTTGAACCACAGAGTCACTGGAAATCCCATATCTCCCTTAATTAACAAAATACTAAAAATGGAAACTATATTATTTTTGGAAAAAAAAAGAAACAGTGTTGGATTATTTAGATCGAATTTCGATAATTATCCAACTCAAAAATGAATGTTCAACTTTTTATTATACAAATTACAATGAATTATCTTTACAACAACTCGCTAATAAAGTTGAACTCTCAGACCTTAAAGCACTTCAAATAGGGGAGTCAACTAAAATATCATTTGAAACTTTGTTCCTCCTTAAAGACTCGACTAGTGATAACTTAATTGGACCTTTAACCAATATTACTCTTGGTAACTGGGATTTTTTGAAATCTACCGAAGATCAGAAAAGATTTTTTACCCATTCGTAGAAGTCAATGATTTGTATTATTCTGTAGATGAAAATTTGGATTTGGTGTGCGAGTTTTACAAAAACCCATCAAAACACTGCAACGACGAAGATGTGTTTGTAACTCAACTTGACAGTGACATATCTCCAGTTGAAGACGAACACGTTAATTTTCAGAATGAAGAAGTAAACACTGTCGTCCCAGACACCCAACAAACAGATAATGGGTATTTATCAACGAACCCCCGTGTTATTTCTCCTCAAAATCCCAACGGTCAAAGACAACCATCTGAACCACAATTGTACACACCAATTCCTGTGATGCTTGTACCATACCCTTTAACCTCAGAACAATCGAGTCATATTTTACAACTTCCACCTTTCTCTGCAAATCAGGGAATACAGCAATTACTTCAATGGTCAATGCCATTAGCTCCAATGAATCCACAATGTTATCAATTTGGATTGCCTCTGGTTAATCCACCGAACATTCAATGACTCGAAGTTCTTCAATCATTTACAGTTCAGCTGTTGTTTATTCTATCGTCAATGAGCAGTCCCTTTATCGTTCTTGGCGATAATCACTTAATATTATTGTGCTGTTTGGACTTGTTAACGTTTTGTTTGTGTTGCATACATTATACACACACAACTCTAAACGTGTTCTCGCTACATATCCTGATCTCAACCAAATATGTTGTATTCAATGCTTGGTTAACATGATATTTTAAGTAACTGCCACATCCGAAGTCCGTGCCCGACATCTCAAAGCAAGTGAAGTTGGGTCTGATGATGTTCTTTTCGAAAGTGTTCGACAATGTATTGTAGTCAATATTGCCATTAATATTATGATAGTCTGCTATCATCTCAGTTGCGTGACTATTGTCAGTCCAACACCGATGTACTTTGTTGATATTTCCAACAAATTTCAAGTTGTGACCAAAGAACCACTTGCTACTAACATCACTTTATCAATTGGCTCAACGAGTGGTCGAAATACCATTGCTGGAAATATTTTCATATCCATACCAATAATCATCGTTTTTGTTTATAAAGAAGCCAGTTGGCGATGGTGACTTTTGTTCACAAGATCAAGTCAGCGGGTGTTGCTAGTGTCATGTCTTACGTCTAATGTACTTTTTGAGACTTGTGATTTTATGCTCACAAGACTTTAGTTTCTGTGGTGAAGAATGCTGGTATAAAGTTCCAAGCAGTGATGTCGTTCCACAAGTGTGGTGGTAATGTTGGAGACTCTATAACGATTGAGATTCAACGATGGGCCCGAAAAGTTGGCGCTTTCAACGACGTATTCTTCAAAGACGCCGAAAACAACGTCGTCATCAAGTACATTTCTTTGTGATGACCAAATCATTTTCGAAGAAAGAATTTTTATTGAAATATTCAAAAAGATTTCATGGCGTCTTGCAAACAGAAGTCCCAGAGTTACATCGACGACGAAACACTCAATGAGATCCAAGTTGGTATGCGACCATGCGATGAGACAAGATACCCGTCATACCCACTCTCGAGATGGAGTTACTGAGGCATTGGAAAGTTACAATGCAGCGACAGCAAGTCACAGGAAAACTTGAAAATGCAGCCAACAGTACTGGGCACTCCGAGTGGGGACAGAACACAACTAATGCCGCTTAGATTTAATCAATTTGTCTTTAATTGTAAATAATATTGGAGTTAATGATATCAAGTAGGGCCATTAATTTAGTTTTAATCACTTTGGAGATTTGAAAAGTAATACAAAACAGATTTTTTTACTTATAAGCTATATACTATATTTATAATTGATTATAATAAAAATGATAAAATGTGATATTTTTGAAAGAAGTGTTAAATAAATAATATTTTTTATCAAGTTTATTAAGAAAAAAGATAAGTTAATAAATAAAAAAGTTTAATTTGATTAACTAAACAATGTTTTAAAATTTTAAATACACAGACCGACATATTTTCTGGGAAATTAAATTAAAAATAAATCAAAAACCAAACATAGTATTTGTGAATGTTAAAGACTAGTTATTTTTAAAATAGTAATTTAGTTTATTTTTAAAATGTTAGTTATATTATTTACAATTTAAACTATAATTGTATTATTAATTTTATTAATTAAACATATCATAAGATATTTAAATTGTTTATTTGAAAAATTTATAATAAAGTCTATAATTATTTTTTTAAATAATAATTACAATCAGTCTTAAAACGTTATCTAGTGCCTTTTGGACCATTAAAAATAGAACATTTCGGGAAGCCGTCCAAATAATCCATCCCAATTGTTCCGGGTTTTTTCACGGTTTACCCAATGCCCAATGTTTAGACATAATTAAAGCTATTTTTTGTCCACCAGATAACGTTAAAAGACTGACTCTACTTTAAAAAGAATTAAATATATTGAGTCAAATAAAACAAAAAAGTGTAATAACACATTAATTACATTAATCAACCTCTAATATTGTTTGCACTTTATATTGCAATTCTTCAAAAATTTGGAGTTTAACTTAACCTCAGCTTCCTTCTGTTTCTGTGTGTATTCATTATTTGATGCCGATTGGTTC